TTTTTTTTTTTTTTTTTAACTATACTCTTCTCTCAACTTTTCCTCACACTACCTACCTACCACTACTGCTACCTATAGGCATACCGGGAAACCCGTAGCATACCAGAGCCATGTTTTTACGGTCCCTCGAGCCTGCAGGATACCGGCCGGCAGACGGCAGGTAGCACCTGGGATAAAGCGGACCAATCCCCCGTGCCTCCCCTCAGGCCCCTCCCCTACGAACATAGCAGACTCTGCTTGATGCCGATGGGGGGCTTGGCACTCACAAACATGAAAAATAATTTGCGCGGACCATTTTTTTCCCTCCCTTTGCCCTTTGGCACTAAACGAAATGAACCGCCAAACGGGAGGAGGACTGGAAAAATTCAAAAATGAGGTCCAAAAAAAGTTGGATATCACTTTCAAAGGGGGCCAGATCGATGCTCAAGGAAAGACACGAATGTTTCTGTTGGTAGCCAAAACCGGAAAGGTTTTGGCGTGGGCTCTTTCTACCAATTATATCCCGGGCTAGGGTCCCCCTTGCACGGATTATGAGATACTGACCGTAGATAGCGAAGATCAACGGCCGAAATCTCCTCATTTGCGCAAGTGGGACCTTGCCCCCTAATAGAATGATACTCCGCGGGCCAGGTGCTACTACCAAGCAGCAGCTTTGAGGTCCCTCAATGCCTGAGTCTGTCTTTGCTTTATCTGGAAATGTGCTACTGAGGAAAGGTGATTACTGCACATCTCCACAAACACGTCCGGATTCTGGCGTTGAGGAAACTCAACGCTGCTATTGGGACTTAGCCTCCGAGGGATACTGGCATTCCGCGAGCCTGCTCGAGGGCACAAGGTACAAGGCCCTCAGTGGGTCTCCTAGTCTTTGGGCAGATGGATAGAAGGGGGGGGGCAAAGAGGGAAAGAGGGTTACCGTATTGGAAATAGATGACATTGTTCTTGGGTGCACAGTGTTTGCCTTGTCCGAGCCTGACTGCTACAGTAACAGGGTGAAAAAGAAAAATATTCAGGTGCCCGTACCAGCCTTGCTTGCAGATTGCACCAAAAAGACAAGCAAAAACAAAAGGAGAAATAGAAAAGGAAAAACTATATCCAGATCAATGATGAACAAAGGCCATAGCCCTCACAAGGACGCAGTGCCTTGCCGAACCTGAATTTCACTGTGCAACAAGTGTGTCTATGGGCATAGGCTGTGGCCACATACAGTGTTGCATGGACGTCCTCTCTCTCTCTCTCTCTCTCTCTCTCTCTCTCTCTCTCTC